AAACTTTCTCAAAAACTAACTCAAGTTCTAGTCTGAATTTTACGGCTTTCACAATGCATGTTTGAGGAAACAACTAATTATGGACCCATGGGACTTTTGTTTCTCACCCATTAGCAATCAGCACATAAATGCTGGGACTTGTTTTCAGACTGTATGGTCGGAAGAAATTCTTCATCCTGTGGAGGCCCTGCTGAGAGGAAGACAACAAATGGATGTTAGATGTATATTTTTAAAACCTGTATGCACACTAATTATAATTCATTTGAAATCTTACCATTTTAAAGAGGTATTAAGTTTATTTAAAAAAAATACTTGATATGCATTATTTCTGACACTAACACAAAAGCAGCAATGCTGTATCAGTTTCATATGGGCTATATTTTTCTTCATTTTTAAATTGGAGATTAAAATTGATGATATTGGAGATCACCCTTTCTATTAATGTTACTATACTTAGATGAATTCTCATGGTTTTTCCTTTGTGAAAAAAAAAGTTATTAAGTTGAGGCTTCTTTGTCAGCTGTAATTATTATTATTATTATTATTATTATTATTATTATCATTATTTCTGGAGCTGAGGACTGAACCCAGGGCCTTGCACTTGCTAGGCAAGCACTCTACCACTGAGCTAAATCTCCAACCCCGAGCTATAATTATTAATGTGATCAAAATAGGCATTGTTGGACAGTATAATCATGTCAACTCAATAGTGAATTGCAATTATTTTTAAAGTAGAGGGCTGGAGAGATGACTCAGCAGTTAAGAGCACTGACTATTCTTCCAAAAGACCAGGGTTCAATTCCCAGCACCCACATGGCAGCTCATAACTCCAGTTCCAGAGGATCTGACACCCTCACACAGACATGCATGCAGGCAAAACAGCAATACATATAAAAAATAAAATGAAAAAAAAATCTTAAAATACAACTAATTCCAAAAGTAGGGCATGTTTGTTTTAGAAAATTTAACCATACAAGGTTAAAGTTGAAAAGTATAAAACATATATAGTTCAAGTGAAGGTTAAAACCAGCAGAATTCAGAAAAAACACTATTTATGTATATTCTAATTTCTACCTTCAGTGAATAATTTGTACCTGCTAATGAAAACAAACAAACATCTGCAATGTATTCCACTTTTAGTTTAATGCCATGCTCAGCAGCAAAGCATTGCTCCACAGAGTGACAGTACCACAAACCCAAAAAGTGACTTCATAACAAAGAGATATTTCATCACATCTTTCTCAGTATTCAAACTTTTCTAATTTCAAACCTTGCGTATTACCTATTCTACTTGTAACTGAGATGAACTTGTGGCTCACCCCGTGAGAGCACACCCTGTCATGGAATGGAGGCACACCAGCCGGAAGCTGAGGCAGCTGCTCATGTGTCCTCAGTCAAGAAGTCCAAAGAGGGGAACGCTGGGACCCAGCTTACTTTTTCCTTTCCATTCAATATAGAGCAATAGTCCATGGAATGGTGGTGCCCGCAATGGTCAGGTCTTCCCATTTCAAAGGTTACTTGAGATAAATAATAATCTATATTATCCCTCATATAACAACGCTATATAATCCCAACCTATATAATCCCTCACCGGCACACTCTGAGACTAAACTAATCTAGGGAATCCTCCGGGGACATGTATAGGGTCTCATCTCCTCAGTGAGTCTAGACCCCATCAAATATGCAAGACCAACCCTGTGTAAACTGACGACATGACTGCTCCATGGCGTCGTTATGGGGAAGGTTTTTATTGCTGATTTGAGAATAGCCGGAGGTGCCTGGAAGAATCCAGAGCAGAGAGGGAGAAGCAAACTGAACATGGCCAGACCTATCCATGAGAGAAGGGAGGAGGGCAGGGGAGAGAGGGTAAAAAAAGCATAGTGAGAGAAACAGGAGCAGAGAGAGAGACAGGGAGGGAGAGAAAGAACACAGCAAGAATGGCAGGGTTATGAGAATAAGTAGCAGCAGGGGAGGGAAGCCAGTGAGCTGGAGTTTAGGGTGGGGGAGGACATAAGAAGTAGGATGCTACCAAGGACTTTGAAAAGTGTAAGAGGTACTTGTGATACTAATGACTCCTGGAGGCCACCATGTGCTTTGATATGTTAATCCTGTCCCTTGGGCCAGAGGTTAGGGAAATGACTCCTTTGGTACAGGGAAAACCTGCTTCACAAGCACCTGAAGAATGCTGGCTTTTATCCAACCACCAGAAATCCTCCGATAGAACCCATTTCTGGATATTTGGACTGCCTTTTGGAGTTTGGGTGAATGGGAGTTTCCTTTGGACATGACCAACACTATAAATAATTAACAGCAAAAATCATCAACACAGTGCCAGCGAGCTGGCTCACAAGGTAAAGGCACTTGCTGCTGAGCCTGCTGAACTGTGTGATCTCCAGAGTCCACACGCACTTAATAAACAAACAAAATTTTAAAATATTATCACCATCATATATCAGATGATGATTTACTTTTTTCTGGAACCTGTGGCCTTCTTGTCATTTATTTTGTGAACAGGAGGCAACTTAACTAATAATAATTATATATATATGTGTGTGTGTGTGTGTGTGTGTGTGTGTGTGTGTGTGTGTGTGTAATATAGTATATATATTACATAATTATTTATTGATTCTTCAGAAATTTCACATCATGCACAAAATCCCACTCACCTCCAGTCCCTCTATATCCTCCCCTCAACCCTGTAGCATCCCCTCATCCCCCCCAAAACAATTAAAAACTGTTGTACCCAGAGTCCCCCAAGGACCACCAAGAGACCAAATCCAATGCAAAAATCAAAGAGTCTTTTTATTGTTTTGAGTTAACTCAGGCCTCTCTGCCTGTCTGACACAGCAGCAGAGCAGGAGAGACCCTGAGTAGCAAAGCAGGGTTTTTATAATAGTTATGGTAGGGGGTCTGGGAGAATTCCAACTCTATATAGTTACAAGCTCAGGACTGATGCTTACCTCAGGTTAGAGATGCTTGGTTGGAACTGATTGGAGAGTTGCAGCTGCAAGGAAATTGTCATATCCTCTAACAATTTACGTTATTGTATCTATATCACCAACAGACTCATTTCCTCTGATAGACATCTCATTTTATCTGCAGGAAACTCATTCCCTCTGACAGCTATGGTATACAATCTATAACAGCAGAAAACATCCCACAGGACATATCTGGTGCTTTATTTATTATACCAGTTATGTTATATCATAGCCCTTAGGTTATGGCAGGACATGTCTGGTATGCAGGTCCTGAGTGTCTCGGTCTAGGGGCAAAGGGGCAGAGTATCCTCTGGTGGGTTTTTTTTTAGAACAATTTGTCTGAGGGCCTGTCTGACCCTTCTCTAAGATGGTTGTAACCCTGGCATCCTCTCAAAAGCAAGACAAACAAACAAATGAACACTACATCACCACCTCTCTTCTCCATCTTCCAACACTTCTTCATTCATCCTAGTGGCATTGAGTGCTGAGGAGTGTCACTAAATATACCCTTTGTCCAATCAGCCTTACCCAGGAAATGTTCATTACAATGAGTCATTGGTTTGGGTCAAGGCCTCTGGCACACCATCATCACTGGACACTCACCAGACCTCCTCTGGGATATCCTGCTGCTGCCCTGAGTCATGGGGTCCTGCAGTTATCATTCCATAGGACCATTCCCTTCACACATTCCAGCAGATCATAGATGGCATAGATAGTCGGGTGGCCAACCCAAGGCCCAGGATGTGAGTCTGGGTGGTAGCTGGTCTGGTCTGTCTGGGCCACAGGGACATGGCCCTCAACAACAGTGCAGGGCCAACTTACTTCACCCTAATTTCTAAGTACAGTTCTGGCCCTGCTATCAGCCACTCTATAATTCCATGTATAGCCAACTTTTCTCTGTCCTGTGTTACCCTTGTGACTATTTCTACTCTGGGGACATCAATTCCTCCTCATAGCACCAGGTGATTCCATTCTGTGGTTTTCTCCATACTTTCAATATATGACATCTTCTCACAGATGTTGGCTCTACACATCAGGCAAAACAAGAGGGCAAGGCCAAGGAACCTCTTGTAAACGTACACGTAAGTATTAATTATCTGTTTCAAAGTCCTGGGCCTCATTGTCAGTGCCCCTAAGTTTTCATGGCTTCCACTCCTCTTTGTGGTTTACTACTATTTCCCATCATACCTTCAAATTCTCTCTTATCCTTGTGTGACAAACTTAAACAAATTTTACTCATCGTTAACAGGTTTATGCATTATTATTACCTTCTCTTTTCAACTGGACCCTAAGACATCTATAAAAACAAATCATAACATGTATGTACAAATCGAAAAGTATACCGTTTAGCTCTCAAAAGGCCAGGGGGTTGACATTTATTGATGTTCAGGATTCTAGGATTTAGATTTGGATTTAGATTTAACTGTTAGAGATGATCAAAATATGGTAGAACAATTCTTAACATTGAGAAAACAAACTGAATGTTCTATATAAACTAAAAGAAATTAGTAAAGTCTGAGCAATTGTTGGTGGGGAAATCAACGCAAACATGAGTTCTAGGGGAAAAAACAAAATAGAGGAAATGATAGAAATAAATTCTACAGTCCCAGAATTCTAAGTGATTCTTATACTGGAAAACAATAATTTAAAACACTGTGATATTTTATTCACTCAGTATTAAATTTTCTAGATCCAGCTTTACTTTTTTACATGGCCTAGGTCATTGCCCAAGATGCCATAAGAATTTATTGAAAAGTGAAGAACCAAAGCACCCCCAAGCCCCTCACCCAGGTTGAAACAGGCCTGAGTTTCAAAATTCTCAGAGCTGCTGACATAGGTCAAAGTACAAAGTCAGGATGTTTGAAGGACTATCTGGTAGCAACTGATTAACAATAGAATGCCCCAATACCAGAGCTAGTCTATAAAGTTTAACAAACAACCAGTTAAAACTACAAAGTAAGATAACTCAGAAATTCTGAAAAGCCCCTAAAACTTGAGCCAATCAGAATTGTACCCAACTCGCACCCCTAAATGATGTAACCTTGTGGTTTTTGCCTTTAAAAACTGAGCTTGCAGAGGGGCAGGCACCTCCTCCAGCCTCTCTTGTGTTGGATGGCTGGATGAGGGCCCTGCATCTGCGGCCTGAACTGCTTCAATAAACCTTGCTTTTGCATTTCGGTGAGTTTGTGTCTTTGATGGTCTCTTTGGGGGTCTAGCGCCCAGGGCACAACAAAGAGCAGTTGGGAAAGATGAATTTTGATCAGCACCAGTCTGATGTACAACTTGTGTTTTGTTACTAAGCTATGTCTGGTCCAAGTGTTCTAGCATCAATGCATAGTGTGTTGGGACATTGAAGAACTAGATCAAAGTTACTGAATTAGATAATGCTTGGTATTCTGGGATGGGATTTTAAGTCACAGAGCACCACCAAGCTTTCCTGGGACTGGGTAAGGTCATGTTTTGCTTTGACAGGTGACAAAAGTCACTATCCATTAAGGACGTAACAGGAAATAGAGCATATTAAAAGGAGTACTCCTGGGGGATTGCCATCCAGAAAGTGCTTATCACCTACTCACATGCAAGAATGGGCTTTAAGTACCTCTACAAATATGTGAGGAGGAACAGTGTTAAAAGCAATTCTTCAAACAAGAAAAGGACAGTTCTTTAAGCAAGAATTGGAAGTAGTACAGGATAAAATGTTTTATAACAGAAAAATACAATATGCACAGCTTATTGTATTAATTATTTATTAATAAAGACAGCTTAGAAAATGAACAAATGCTGGTACACATTTAAATTTACATTTTAGTTTGCATTCTTCACTAAGGAGGATTTATGAATCACAGTTTCTGGGGAGTTTTGTTTTGTTTCACTGTTGATTTGGAGATGGCAAAAGACCAAGGATACAGAACCAAAATTTGTGTTGGTGATTATTCAATTTGGTTGTCAATATATTTAAATCCATGCCAGTAATAAAAGTATGGCACGATCAGTAATGTTATTAAACATCTTTCTGGCATCTAAACCACTTCAAGTCATTTTCCACATTCTTTTCATTTTAAAAAAGACTATTGGAGTTGTTACTTCACAAGTTCACAGTTAGAAAACATTGGAATTGCCGGGGGGTGGTGGCACACACCTTTAATCCCAGCACACGGGAGGCAGAGCCAGGTGGACCTCTGTGAGTTCGAGGCCAGCTTGGTCTACAGAGTGAGTTCCAGGAAAGGCGCAAAGCTACACAGAGAAACCCTGCCTCGAAAATAATAAATAAGTAAGTAAATAAATAAATAAATAAAGTCGGAATCCAGCGACACAAAAATTTTTATATCATGGAACAATCGCTCACAAGCGGTTACTTTTTTAGGTAAATCTCATTCTCTTTAAATAGTTTTCATACTCACTAGCTTGTGATTTGTGTGGCACAAGTCAGCATGCACGTCACAATATTTTTTTGCAATATTAGATGGAGAGGATTGCATTAGTGATTATCTTAAATTCCTAACAACTCTGAAAATATGGATATTACGGGTTCATTAGGGACATAGACAGAAATAAGGGGCTAGATCACTATTTAAGATGGGTTGCTATCTGGAACATTCTGTGACTGAACAGTTTATCTTTGGCTATTAGCCCCACTGTAGAAAGGAAGCTTAGAAGCAGGAAGAGTGTGAGTAAGACAGGGTCAAGCCATCTTTCTCTCCAACATGTTCTAGTTTCTCAACTCTAAAATTCAACAAAGTTTCTCTCAAGTTGGAACATCAAGAAACTCTGTCTAGGTTTTAGAAATCTCATTGGTTGTGATAACCTGGAATTAGAGGATGGAATTATGTGACTCGGGCAATGTATAAATACAAGAATTTTGTGCTAAAGTTTGACCTCTGATTGTTTATCTGAAGCAACCAAACACATACTAATGAAACCTATCATAATTTATGATCCATTTAGAATACTATGTGATATTTAATTATATCTGATATACACATAAAATCAGCTATACATTAATCTGTTTATTTTTTCTGGCTATAATAAAATGAAGAATTTTTTAAATGAAAGAAAATTCACTGGCCACCCTAATAATGTTATTATTATTTTGTTTATTCCCTGGTTGCTTTACAACATAAATTAATTTTTTTCAGTTATTAAGTGAATATTTTATGCAAATACAATTTTAATGGCAACTTAACTGTGTCCTACATATATGTTAAATATTTGATATTAATTATAAGCTATGATTTAACTATTAGAAACAACACTTACATTTTCTTATTAAATAGAAAGCTTCTGTGAATATGTTTTGTTCCTATATCATTTGACCTCCAAAATTTTTAGGCTACTAAGGACATCAGAGTAAAGATGCTAAATGTGAATGGGTCTAGAGCTTTACATTTAGTAATACAGTAATATAGAATTAGTCAAAATAAATTAGTTAAAATTGCTAAGATAGTTCTTAGTTGAATGTACTTTCCCCTTTTTCAATAAATTATTTATTTATTTATTTATTTATTTATTTATTATAGTGGATGGTGTGTGTGTGTGTGTGTGTGTGTGTGTGTGTGTATACTCCATGTTGCATGTGTGGAGATCAGAGGTAGATGAGAAGGGTCAGTTAATTCCTTCTTCCTCTCAACTGTAATGGGTAGCCATTCCAGCTTTGATCTGAAAGTTCCAACCCCCATTGAGGCTTCGGTAACAGTCACGCCTACAAGGCGGGGCCAAGAGAGGACCCTGAAGACGTGAGATCCAGATTCACTGGTTCTTTTGGATCCTGAACCCTGGAAACTGGAGGTAGACTGAGCAGAGTTCTCCAGAGAACACTGCCAGACTGTGCTACACCTTTCCCAGACCCTGTAGCCTATCCCTTCACTTGTGAGTTACGCCACAAAATAAACTTCCCTGTTAACTACATGGAGTTGCCTTAATAATTTCACCAATATCTGGTGCTCACATGGGGCAAATTCCAAAGGCCTGGGTGGTTCCCACCCTCAGCTTCCTCTCTGGCTGTCAGGCACTTGAAGCTGCAGGGCTCCATAAAACCAGGAAAAACCTACACCATTTCATCCCTAAAAAAGAGCTACTCTGGTCTCATTTCCACGGCAAGTTTAACCCCCAGACCAGCTCCCCCTCCTCCTTGAGTGCTGGCTCCCGGCCCTAGCCCAAGGCTTCCACAGTTTCACCTAGTTAAAATAAACAGGGCAGTGTCGCCAGAGGCACCCTACTTAGGCATAGAGAGGGCTTAAAGAAGTGCCTGCTGGCAGACCTCCTGTCTGCAGAGGCAGAGAGGGGCTTAGAGTGGCCTGGAACTCTTCACTCCCTGAAGCTCCAGGGAGTCATCGGAAGAACTGCCTACTGCCTGTGCTCACTCTGCCGCCAGCCAAGGCATTCAACAGGACCTGCTTTGGAGCTATACCAATGCCTCCTGCCGGCTGAAAAGTGCTGCTACACCCCTCAAAACCACGGAAAGGTAAGATAGGCAAACCCGCGTCTTATTTCAAGTAAAAGTACTTGATAATTTTACACCTTAAAACTGCCTAACAAATTTTGAGTAATGCTTGTAATATGGCCAACAACATTACCTCACAAGAATTTAAAAACCATTTTGCCTATATGATGAATGACATTTTCCTAGAAATATATGACCTTCCTAAGGCGTATCTGGCCTGTACCATTTGAGCATTCATCATAACAATTCACACAGTGTTCAAACACTGGTTTAATAATAAGAACAAAGATGAGTCATTATTGGGACTGATACAGGCTTTAAAAGATACCAATGAAGGCTTACAGAAAAAGATTCTCTCTCTGGAATCTGCTAACCAGGATTTACAAAACAGGCTTGTACCCAAAATTGATTTTATTGATAACAAATATGAATATTTAATGGATAGAACACTAACTCTCCAGAGTGAACTTGTGGCTACTTAGACACTATATAAGGAAGAAAGATTATAATTAATTGATAAGATAAGGTCCAAGGAATCATGTGTTTCTGAAGAACATAAAAACTTACATGATTCCATGAGAAATCTGGAATCCCTTGCAAGAGAGGAGGTTCACTCCCTACAACAGACCCTAGGTACTTGTCTGCAAGTCCTGGAAAAAAACTCTCAGTAAACATGACAAGGGACCTAATAAGCAGAAGGGCAAGACCATACAGGTTGTAACATCTCCAAATGGCTCTCATACAATGGCTTATCCTGTCATCATCCATGAAAAGCCAGCAGATGATATACACTCTGAGCCATATATGACATATACATACAACCAATTTCAACAAGGAACTTAAAAAATATAAAGGAAGCAATAGTTACGTATGGGCTACACTCCACATACATAAGACAGATGTTTAATTTGTGGTCTACCTCTCATAGAACCATTCCAGATGACTGGCATCAGTTAATTTCAGCTGTTCTAGAATATAGCCAGCAGTTACAGTGGAAAAGCTGGTTGAGAGAAGAGGCAAGAAATTTAGAACAACAAGGTAAACTCAGAGGTTTTGAGATATCCCAAGATCAAATACTTGGTGAGGGATGTTTCGCTGACAGGAAAATACAAGCCAGTTATGATGAGCATACAATAATATCCCTATGCCATACAGCACCTCTAAATGCTGGGGAAAAAATTCCAGAACCTGTAAAACCAACTGAGGTATACACAAAAATATTTCAGGAACCATATGAACCCTTCACTGATTTTGTTTTTTTTACAAAGGCTGAACACAGATATAACAAAAGCTGTATCAGATAAAGAATTAAGAAAAGTATTAACTGAGTCCTTGGTGTTCGGCAATGCTAATGCAGAATGGAAAGAATACTTACACCATTAAAGGTCAGATCAGCTCCTTTGGAAGAATGGATTCAGTATACTAATGGTGTTGACTCTCTTAACTACAGTAATGAGGCTTGGATAGGAGAGTCAAATCCCAGAGGTAAAAGAAGGCCCCGTGGTACCAAATGTTTTAAATGTGGTACACCAGGTCATATAAGTAAAAACTGTACATGGGGTGCTCCTAGATGTAACACTACTTCTAGAAATAGCCCAAACAGGAGACCCCAACCACCTCCTGGATTATGTAGAAGATGTGGCAAAGGCTGACATTTTACCAGTGAGTGCAGATCAAAAATAGATATATGAGGCAACCTGGTGAGAAATGCCTCAGGGGGGCCTCTTACAGGCCCCCAAATCAAACATGGTACAAACATTTCCAGCCACTGTGGAAGAAACTCCTCTCCAGGACAACTGAATAAACCAGTGCCTAATGTAAAAACGGATACTGCAATGGATGATAAAACAGCTCTGGTAGATGAATCACAATTTCCAAAGAACACAATAAAGCAGATATTTTGGAATACTTTGATAAATGAACAAAGACCAAAGCTCAGAATTTGAATTAATGGCCTGGTTCTGGAGGGCCTGGTAGATGCAGGTGTGGATGTGACTATAATTACACCCAAATCATGGTATCCGAATTGGCCTCTTCAAGAGGTAGATGTACAACTTTTAGGGACTGGAACCCTATCTCACATAAAAGAGAGTTCAAGATGGGTTGAATGCATAGGGCCAGAAGGACAGAGAGGAAGGTTGAAGCCATATGTAGCAAATGTAGCAGTAAATCTTTGGGGCCAAGATCAGTTACAACAGTGGAATACCCAGATTAAAATTCCTACACTCTCAGAAAAGGAATACAGACCAATGCATGTTTCTAGGAATAATATCATAACATGCTATAAAAATCAGTCACCAACCATTCAGGCTGTTCACAAACAGAGCACGACCATTGATGAACTCTCAGAAGTACCAACTGCCTTACCTTTAAAATGGCTAACTAATAAACCTGTCTGGGTTGGACAATGGCCTTTGACAAAAGAGAGGCTATAAGCTTTAAAACAGCTGGTTCAAGAACAGTTAAATGCTCAATACATTGAAGAATCTACCAGCCCTTGGAATTCTCCTGTATTTGTTATTTTAAAAAAAGTCAGGTAATTGGAGAATGCTGACAGATCTGAGACCTATTAATAAAGTAATTCAGGTGATGGGCTCCCTACAGACTGGGATGCCCTTGTCCTCTCTGCTACCCAAAGAATGGCCTATAATAGTTATTGACTTAAAAGACTGTTTCTTTACTATACCCTTACAAGAAAATGATAGAGAAAAATTTGCCTTCACAGTACCTAATTATAACAGTTCTCAGCTAGTCAAGAGATATCACTGGAAGGTCCTCCCACAGGAAATGTTAAACAGCACTTCCTTGTGCCAATACTTTGTGCAAAAACCATTGCAGATAATTCCTGTGAAGTTTCCACAATCCATAATTTATCACTATATGGATGATATCCTATTAGCTGATCCAAAGTTAGACACATTAGAAAGCATGTTTGAAGAAGTAAAAAAACGTTTTGCCTCACTGGGGACTGCAAATTTCTCCTGAAAAAAAAAAATACAAAGAGGAGATTCTAATAATTACTGAAGATATAAGATAGAGCTACAAAAAATTAGACCCCAAAAGGTACAACTATGGAGAGATTGATTGGAGACTGTTAATGATTTTCAAAAGTTGTTAGGAAGCATTTCCAACTTACTGGATATCAGGGGAATACCCGAAGATGGATTACAAAATTTGGCTAATACTCTAGAAAGGGACAAAGAATTAAATAGTCCAAGATAATTATCAGCTGAAGCTCAGAAAGAATTGGCTCTAGTAGAAAAGACAATTGGAGAAGCACATGTGGATCATGTGGATCCAGAACTTAAATTCATTCTTGTCATATTTCTCTCCAGACATTCCCCCACAGGTATTTTGATGAAGAGGGAAAATATTATATTGGAATGGATATTCCTACCACGTAAACCAAATAAGAATTTAAAGACTTATATAGAAAAGATCTCTAATTTGGTTCAAAAAGGTAAATTAAGACTTCGTAGGTCAACAGGAATGAACCCAGCAAAAATTGTAGTACCTTTAACTAATGAGGAAATTTCATCACTATGAAAAGATAATGAATACTGGCAGAGAGCTGCATTAACTTTTGGGGAGAGATTAATAACCATTATCGCAAAAGCAAGAGAATAGAATTCATAAAGAAGACTGAGTGGGTCCTTCCTCACATTGTACGACAAAGGCCAATTTCTGGAGTCCTCACATTCTATACTGATGCAAATAAATCAGGGAAAGCAGGATACATTTGCTTATAGACTGTTTACCTTGTTTACATGAAGCCTTAGTCCTTAGGTTATTTCAATAGATAAGACTTAAAGATTTATAGTCACTTATACTTGTCATCTCTATAGTTACGTTAGTTAGGTTATCCAGATTTACAGATGCATAGGCGAGATGGACAGGTAATCTTCAAACACTTCATAGACCTAGAGTATATGGCATTTAATTAACTTAGAATTCTGTTGATGTGAGACACAATTGCTCCTGGCAGGACCAATTTGATCCGGAGGGAATGTTGGGCTTCTAAGACATTTATTTCCATTTGGAAGTTTTTCTTCTTGGCACAAAATGGCGTATTGGGCAAAGAACTGCCCTTGCCTCAACTGCTGACAATATGAGTGCTGTCCTTCCTTACAAGTTGGACACAAGGAAAAGTGACTTCTGAACTCTGCCAAGACAGGGTAAGATGGTCTTTCAGAATTCCTGCTTCTGAAAATGGTCTATCAGATGCTCTAGGCCTGTAGCCAATTTGAATGCACCAACAATGCTGAGAAACATTAGGTGACTGTCCAGGCTGCCAGCTGTCTCTGTCTACTGTTGCATCCATCTTCCATTTCTCAGGTACCATTATATTCTTTCTCAGGTCTTTGATGGTACTGAAGACTAGCAGTTATAGTTATAATTTAGTATATATATATAATATCTTAGATAGAACATATTGAGTATTAGATTCAGGTTCTTTAGGATTGGACATCTTTTGGAATGATCTTTGTAACATGCCATTTACCTATGCTCTAGACTTCTGTGGATTTTAGTATGTGTTTCTTGCTTGATATTGTTCGAGTTGGTTGTAGTTCCATCTTATCTAGGTCATTATCCCTCATTACTCCTGGACAATATTTGATAACCATTCCTTTATATATAGTCTTGTATCAGGTTAGAACCTTCTTATTTAGACAAAAGGGGGAGATGTAGTGGGTAGCCATTCCAGCTTTGATCTGGAAGTTCCAGCCCCAATTAAGGCTTTGGTAACTGTCATGCCTACAAGGCGGGGCCAAGAGAGGACCCTGAAGACCCGAGATCCGGATGCACCGGCTTTCTTCATTCCTGGACCCTAGGTGCTGGAGGTAGACTGAGCAGAGTTCCCCAGAGAACACTGCTGGACTGTGTTACACCTTTTCCAGACCCTGAAACCTATCCCTTCACTTGTAAGTTACCCCACAAAATAAACCTCCCTTTTAACTATGTGGAGTGGCCTTAATAATTTCACTAATACTCAACCTTTTTTTTTAAGCAATATGCTTGGGCACATGGCAAGGTATAGACTTTACAGAAATGGATTCATTTAAGATATAAGAACTAAATAGCAAGAAGCCTGCCAGGGCCATACAGTTTATAAGTAATATAAGTCTCTATGTGTTTACTTGGCTGCAGGTGAGAGAGATTTGTCCTAACAGTGGGCCAAGCAGGACCAGGAAAACTTCAGCTACACTGAGGCTTGGAGGCAATGACTCCTAACCTCTAGGACATATAACTGGATCCCGAGCTTGTGTTTTCTTTAATAAATGCTTTGAACAAAGATTGGAAAAGAGCAGGAGGCACTTCAGGACATTCTCATTCCCTGTCTCTAATTTCTACACTCAGACATTTTTCCCCAAGTTGTGGGCCATAGGTAAATATAGTAACTGACCACTGTGGAAATAAAAACATGGCAGTGGTGGACTCTGAAATCTGTGGATTTGTGAGGCAGGATATTAGTTAATTAGGGAAATGAGTTCAGTGTATGTGTGAAAGGGAAATATAATCAAAGCCAAGAAATTCTAGGGCAGGTACAGAAAGGCTGAGGTAAGATAAACAAGGTCTGTGGTTTTTTTTCATATTCTCAGGTTCCAACCCCAGAATAGGTAAAAAGAAGGAAGAGGTGGACTATATTATTGGATGTATTTAGTGTGTGTGTGTGTGTGTGTGTGTGTGTGTGTGTGTGTGTGTGTGTGTACATATGTATGCACTTGTATGTGTGTGTTTGGGGAGTCAAGGCATGATGGCAGGGGTCTTCATCTCTCTCTAGTTACTTTTATTTATTTGAACAATTCTCTCACTGAATGTGGAACTCACCGTTGACAAGATCCCTGGCCAAGAGCTCCAGGTATCCTCCTATCTCTGTCTCCCCAGCCAAAGGATTAGAGATGAGTGTCTCTGTGCCTGGCTCTTCCCATAGATCCTGAGAATCCAAATCTCAGGTTTTCATGTTTGTGTTTGTGCACAGTTTACCAGCTGAGCCATTTCTGCTGCCCTGTGAGTTATACCTTAACATCTTTTTTAGCGATTTATTTTTATTCTTTACGTGTGTGTGTGTGTGTATGTGTGTGTGTGTGTGTGTGTGTGTGTGTGTGTGTGTGTGTGTGTACATGAGTGTCTTTGCCCTCACAGTCTAGAAGAGAGCATCAAATGTCTCTAGAATCAGAGTTACAGGCAGTTATTAGTCACCAGACTGGGAACTGAACACCAGTCCTCTACAAGAGCAGTATGTGTTCTTAACTTCTCACCCATCTCAACTCAACATCTTTAATTGTTATTGAAATATTACAGATGTGGAGAGGAAGTACATTTTGCCTAAGGAAAATTAACTCTTATTCAGTGGGGATGGTTTTCAAATCCTCAAATTTGCCTATTCCTTTGAAGAACGTCATTATATTTGTCAGTTTACCATTGATTCAACCTCAGTCAGGATGACAAAAAGATTTTATCAGTTTATCTGAACTCTCAAGTATACAAATACATATTCATTTAGCACTAATACAATTTATACTGCAAGTAGCACCATATTGCTATATATGATAACTCAAGATATATATAGTACATATGTACATAGTATATATGATGTTGTATATAATATGAGAATAGATGTAATATATATGGCTTGCATAGATATTTTAAAAAATATGACACCTAGTAATTTCTTGCTTTTAAGATAACTTGAACTTGCTGACTATAGTGTTTTTCAAAAAGAGTTTCCATCAGTTTTTGAAAATAAACTTAAATAAACCCTGAAAACTAGGACCTTTATTAAAATATCCTTCCAGATCCTCTCTTGATTCTTTTCAAAACAAAAATTGAAACTTAGTTTGACCTCTTGTACTGTAGTGTTCACCATGTATTCCAAAACTAAATTACATTATCATCACAAATAAAACTTTCAATAAAACAGCTGCCATGAAAAACTGATTTTGAATGGGGCATTCCAGTGTGTATTGTTAGCATCCACATCCGAATCAGATAAAACTTGAGCTCTTGTAAAGAGCTTGGTACTCAAATTGGCAGTTTTTATATGTGTGTATTTTACAACTTCTTTGCCAATTAAATTAGTGTTATTTAATGCAATATTAAATAAATCATGTTGTTACCTAAACAGAGTTTTGACTAGCATATTTTTCTATTGAGAAAAATCAAAAGTAAATATTTTTTTTTTAATCAGTCAATGGCACAGGCAAGCATTTGAAGCCCACCCAAATGGACTCCTGGGGATTTTAATGTGATCCATCGGGAGACACCCTGTAGTGATTTGGCTTGACCCTTTCCTGTGTCCTTTTTTACAGTTGCCAGGTTCAGATTACCTTATGCCACAGAGGATGATGGGCCCTACTGGGGAACTTAACAAGCTCAGACACTGAATACCTGTACTCTCCTTAACCCTGTCAATGACAAGTCCAGAAAGCTAGAGTTTATGGCTTATGGGGGTCATAGGAGTTTGTTGCTTTTAAAACATTATCCATGAATGATCAGGCAAAATGGAACATGAGTGCATTTCTACTTATTTATTTGTTTTAAAAGATTTATTTTGTGTATCCATTTGTCTGCATGCATATATGTGCAGAACTTGTGTGCCCCATGTCCAAGGAGGCCAGAAGAATTTGGACTTCGTAGCATCTTAAACTAGTATTGCAGACATTTGTGTGCCCCCATATGAGTGCTGGGAACCAAGTTTGGGTCATCTGTAAGAGCAACAAGTGTTCTTACCTGCCAACCCATCTCATCAACCTGTGCATATTTATTTTTATTAAGAATTATTTTTATTCATTTTACATACCAACCACAGATCCCCCTCTCATTCCTCCTCCTGTTTCTCCACCTCAGCCTTCTCCCCACCCAAGCTATCCCTCTCATCCCCTTTTCTGAAAAGGTAAGGCCTCCCCATTGGGAGTCAGTAGAACCTGGTTCATTCAGTTGAGGCAGGTCAAAGCCCCTCCCTGCTGCATTAAGGCTGTGCAAGGTGTCCCACCATAGGTAATGGGCTCCAAAAAGCCAGCTCATCCTGTGCATATTTGTTTATTGATTACATTTGCTTTTAAACAACTTTATAACTGTACAATACATAAGGACCACTCTCTCCTCAAAATTACACCCAATATCTCTTCTTCCCACAAATCTCTCTTTCACATTCATGATTATTTGTTTTGTTTTGTGGCCTACTAATACTATCTGGGGCTGACTGTGTGACCATAGGCTTGGAGCTATCTGTTGGAGTCTGGTGTGCTCAGCAGTGGAGAGACAACTGAAGACAGTGAATCCCCCTCTCTATAACTCTATCAGTAGCCTAGAGCTTAGTAGCAGAGGAAGGAGCCTCGTCACCAGTCCTTCCTTGACTTACTATCCACAGGACTGGTTTTGTGTGGGCCTAAGCAGGTAAATAATAGCTGTTGTGAGTTAATCACTGCCGCAACTGTACAGAGTGTAGAGAAGTCCATTTCATAAGCCCTTTACCTTAACGAATATCTTTTCAATGATTCTCACCACCTGTTCTGAAATAACCCCTGAACCTTGGAGGGGATTTTATTTATTGCTGAGCCTAATAAATATGGATTCTCTTCATCTTGGACAGTCATGAGTTCTCTGCATATGCCATCATTCTTTCCAGGGAGAGGTTGCTCTGATTTATGGCTGGGATCTGTCTTGGGAGATCCTACTAGAAGAGTGTTGCTTTACTGATTTAGTTACACGTTAGTAATATGTTCCCTGCCTGGGTCTAGGACCTCCCAGGTCCTGGTCTGTTAGCTAGGCTTTCACTAACAAACATGTTCATCCCTGCCCTCCCATCTCCCATAGAGAGAGCCTCAAATACAATCAGAGGGAAATTTGTTACTCCTAAAACAAGCTCAAAGAAGCCTAAGAAACTTGCTGCAGGTCACATAGAGGGCGGTAGCCAAAATGATATGCAAATCTAGATGTCAGAGTTTAATCTAACACATTAGGATGGTTATTTTTGGTATTTTGTACCTCTTTCATAGAGATTTGAATTTGTCTTTTTATTAGATTTATTTGTGTGTGTGTGTATGTGTGTGTGTGTGTGTGTGTATGCCAAGTGTATAGATGCCCATGGAGGTTCTAAGAAGGTGTCAGATCCCCTGGATCTGGGGTTATAGCCAGTTGTGTGCCACCAAACTTGGGAAGGAAGACATGAAATCATCCTCATCAAATCTGGGCACAACAAGGACAGGAGGAGGACATTACAGAAAATACCATTTTAAACATTGGTGGTATTCTCGATTTATAAGCAAACACTTGTTAGTAAACAGTCTCTTACAGTGAAAGCTCGTTGACATTTGGTGGACATTTACTTACACAAGAAGAGCTAAGGTAAGTAAAATATTCTCATTAAGGAAAGAAAGCTATGACAAGCCTAGACTCAGGGGGGCCTCCAGTTTTTCATGTTCCCCTTATGATGGGGAAATGATTACATTCCTGACCAATAGGGAAGAATTCTTAATCTTTCCACAGAAATATTTCAGATATGTATGTTACAGCGACCAGATTACAGCGACCCCCAAAAGACCACCTATCCCACATATAAAAGCAAAGAGCCTTTATTTTCAAACTCTGGGGCTTGGTCTCTCTGTCAGCAGAGGTTGGGGTGAGGGGATCTCCAGGGTTCAAGACTCAGACTGGCTGACATTTGTCTAGGGGTAAAGGGAATGTTTGGAATGTCAAGTATTTCCTCTTATATGCAGGTCCCACTGGGTGGGGACAGCTTATGGCTTTTCCTGGGTCCAGGTGTTGCCTGCCAGAACTGTGTCTAGGCCTCAGGTATTTCCCCTTAGACACAGGCCCCACTGGGTGGAGTCTACCAGAATCTGTTGCTGGGCCTAGAAGCCTGTCATGGCAGCTGTGTGATCAAGCTGTTTTGCCACCCATCCCCCACCCCCACCCCGCCCATGCACAATGTAAATGTATATAATGTTCAGATATGCCCATCCTTAGTGTTCTCTGGAATGTGATAGGCCCTTGGTCTGGTCCAGGTTTTCACTTTAAAAAAAAAAAGATTTGTTTCTATAATATCTGACCCACAGCAATTTTGTAATTCCAGACTTGATATAAAAGAGTTAAATGCAGTGATTACATTTTAACTGTTGTTTTGAGATACGATCTAGTTATGTAACCCAAGCTCTCCTGAAACTCACAGTTTTACGGCTTCCTGCTCTTGAGTGCAGAGCTTGAACTGATGAACTTGCAGTTGTGTTCTCTTTGCAGGCAAGGACTTGAAAGGGTTAGCTTGGATCTATGTTTGCCTACCAAGTGCATTGGTTGAACTTATTTATGTTTATCTGAAATAGGCTTTGGAAATGCTGGTGGAGATGATGTTATGGTGGCAGCAATCGCCTTTCATTAGCCCAAGATTTCTTATGCAAAAAAAAAAAAGCCATTACAAAATTTGCAGTTTATTGGAGTCATTCATTATGAAATGAGAATTCTTTGTCAAGTACCATGAAATAGTGATAAAAACATAGCTTAATTTTTAGTTAATGGAATTTTAAGACTCCTTACCTCATAGCTCTATTTTTTTTCTTTAACAGGACAGTAGAGCAAGAAGTTGGGTGATTCATTTAATCTCGCATCTGTGAACATCAGCAGAACCGTGGTTATGGCAGGTTGTTTGAAAGTACTCTGTCTCCTTAGTCAATTTAAATACCAGATTGGCTGCAACTGGCTTCAGCAGAACTGTGTTTGCTAGTCCAGCATCCATTCTGTCTGTGCTATGTTGCATAGCTTTGATTCTCTGTGAGTCCTGTGGCCTTCAGTTCAACCCACTCCCTGACCATCCAATGGGAATCATCACAATCCTGTACCTCATTGACTCAGTGAGCTTTCAGCCATGGCTGAATGAAACAAAAGATACGCAGCAGGGATACATTTGTGCAGGTAAAAAGGGATGCTGGGGATGGAGCTGACACATGGAGAACTATACCAGACCCCCAAATTATAAATAAATAGAGTATAATTTTTGATTTAATAATGCTTATTATTATATAAGTAGTATGTTACCTGGATTATTTAGGCTGGTTTCTTGATTGTTTTTTAAATTACTTCCAGCAGAAAGCATTGTGTTATAAGAATGCATGGACCATTTTTGTCCATCATGAGCATTATATGATATCTTATCTTGGGTAAGAAACTTTTGATATTTGTTTTTAAGAATTTGCATATGCTTTTTTCATCAATACTTGAAAAGTACTTTTCAGCAGCAGTGTGCATTTCTATGAGTTTTGCATCGAAAGAAATTGTGATACAGAAACCCTGGGCATTCTGACATAATCCACTCCATAGCTGTGCAAAGCTAAGAAGTGAGATAAGCTATATAGAAAGACAGAAAAGCTGAGCAGCAATAAGAATTTGCATGGAAAAAAGACAAATGCATGGGATTTTTTTTCTCTTGTTACAAAGTTTAAGAAAAAATAGAGATAACACCTTATCCTTGGAAAGAATATGCTTATTTCTTTCTTTAGTCCTATTGTATTGTTTTAAATACCACAGTCATTAGGCCCTCAGAAGATTTAACCTGTTGAAATGAGATGGAATGAGACGGAATATAATAGCAGGGAAGTATTTGTCCAGTGAAAGGGGTGCTGGAGATGAAGCTGACACATGCAGAACTATATGGCACCCACAAAACTGTAAATAAATAGAGTATGGCATACATGTGAGAGATAGCAAGGCACTAAGAAGGGTTTTCAGCAAGGTGCTAAGTGGATCCCATTCATAGCTTTGCACTCCAAATCTTTAGTTTTTCAAACCCACGTATCAATAAAGAATAAATATTACTGTTTTTAATGACCTATTATTCAAGCTATTTAAAAGACTCTTGTTATGAAATGACATTCATCCCCAGCTTGGAGATTGTCTAAAGGCGGTCTTCAAAATTGCCGGGTAGGCTTGTGTTAGGAGCAGTGTCCACCAGAGAGCTGGTTTTCAGCTTTGATCTTTGGTCACTAGCTACATGTAAAGCAGTTTGAGATGTAATTCTTTAGCTCAGAGCCATTCTGTTTCCTAAAGTTTCTGTTCTGAAATGAACAAAGAGATAGGGTTCAAAACCCCCGAGTTTCAAGAATGGGTTTCCAACTGAAGCTCAGCATGTATGTAAATTGGGGAAGGGTGAAATACCCTCCAGAAAACATGAGGCATTTTCAGACTTACTTCTTAACACTTAGCTGCAAAGTGTTGAGTCTGTGGTCTGTGCCCAGCGTGCTATCTCACTGTCTCGGTCTTCCATTGTAAATTGTCTGTCTTTAATAAGAAGGGTCATTAATTTTTATGGAAAACTGTTTAGTTATTAATGGGAAAAATTGTATTGATTGAACATCTGTCTCTCTCCGTGCCTGTAAAACGAAAGGTGCTAAAACATATCATTGCCATGAAGACCTTTTATGATTGGTTGGGTTACTTGTTGTCTTGAACCATCAATTAGTGTTTATTAAAGTAACTTCCAGAGTGCTGACTAAATCACACACTCCATCATAGCTATTCGCCACCTCTATATGTTCAGCCTTGAAAGTAACTGTGCAGAACCATCTGAAAGCTTGTGCTGAGATGCTGTTTTATGCTCTAAACATAGACACTGGAATTATTACCCTTGACTAAAAAGCTAAATTGTCTCATTACAAGAATTTATGAAAGTATGTAGGTTTCTAGTGTTCTCTAATCTACTTTTTATTTTGTTTTGTTTTTGAGGATACTCTTTTTTGAAAGATTTATTTATTTATTTGTTTGTTTGTTTATTTATTTAGTCAATGTTCTGCCTGCATGTATGCCTGCACTCCAGAAGAAGGCACCAGATCTCATCATAGATGGTTGTGAGCCACCATGTGGTTGCTGGGAATTGAACTCAATAACTCTGGAAGAGCAGCCAGTGGTCTTAACATCTGAGCCAACTCTCCAGCCCTGAGGATACTCTTAACACAGAGCAAACACTTCTTAAGGTGCACTCACCTGAAAAAACAGCTATTTTTAAAGTATATTTAATGAAATCACAAGCTTTGGCCTATATTTTGGTGAATTTTCTGATAATGTCACATGTGATATGAGAAGGTCACATTCTATAAACACCTTTATTGTTGTCTAAATTTACTCTATCAGACAGTCAGAAGCAGGCAGAGTAAGCTGTGTATACTGTATCCTGTTACCTACATTAAGGCTACATTTATCATTTGTTGTTGGTTAGGTAGGACCACATTCTGTTTCAGTGTGTGTGTGTGTGTGTGTGTGTGTGTGTGTGTGTGTGTGTGTGTGTGTGTGTTATGGCACAGAAAAGGGCTAAAGAGCTTACCACAGATATTAGTAAACCCAGGAAGAACTCACACAGTCTGTGACCTACATTTGGCAAATTAGAAAGCATGCAAGTTTTTCTCTCTGTGTTTTCAGACTGCTTTGTTTTCCCAATTTGTAATGTTCTGCTATTTAGACATTATGGTACCTTCATGGTTGTGATCTAATTAGGATTCCTCCTAAAAGAACCCACCCTTTCCCCTCTTTCTACTGTGGTTAATGTTCCATTATAGGTGTTTGTGCTGCTGTTCTCCCAATATTTAAGCAAATCATTCTTTCAGTACCTTGTGGAGGGGGAAATGCAAAAGCTCGTGGACCAAAATGCACCATAAATTTGTTTCTAATTTACATCTTCCCATTGCTGCTGACAATGGATATTTGTTGTGTCCTTATTGCTTACTTCATTAGTGTTCCTTCGTGCGACTTTTCTATAAACATATTCCAAAGCAAAGAGTCTGTGGCCATTAAGGCCGCAATGCCCTAAGCTCACTGAGCCTGTTGATAGTCATCCCTTTCTTTCTTATACTGCCCTGTAACAGCCTTCATACTTTACATACTTCATACTTCACAAATTTCTGGTAATGCTTTATGACTGATGATTCAGAGTAACCAAATAGAAGAAGCCACAACTGTCAATCACATAGAATAATCTGCAAGGTCAAGTTTCCATTCAATGTTCAGTGAGCTGTGGAAATCATCCAACCTTTGGAGTATATTGATAACATGGTATAGATATCAACCACGTGAAAGTATTCATTTCTGCCACACTCCTTCTGCTGCATTACATGTATGGGATTATATAGCTGTCATGTTTAATGTATTTGAGCTGTCCCCTCAGTGAGTCAGTCTGGGCATGCCTTACAGGGAAAAAGAGTACCCATAAGTTAGTATGCAATCAGAACCTGTGTTGACTGAAGGATGGGAACAGTTTTTCCCTCAGATGATTTGCCTTGGATGATTTGGCTGTGACTACTTGAAATAAGAAACAAGGGTCCTGGCCATAGAGCTTAAGAAAATTCTTACCTTTGTATCATTGTATAGTGCAATTATATAAAACACAATTTTAAGGACAAGAATGAATCAAAATCATTTTGTGCTAGACTTTTCAGCATTGCAGCAAATACTTGACATAAAAGTGTACAATGAGGGTGGACTTATTTTGGCCTATGATTTTAGAGGTTAAACACCATTGTTGCCTGGTTGACATTTCTGGGCTGGTGTGAAGCAGAATATAATAGTTCAATATAGGGGGAAAGAATGTCTTACTTCATGGTGGCTGGGATGCAAAAAGACAATATGTATTGGTGACAAGATACTCTTCAAAGGCGCACACTGGTGACCTAGTTTCTCCAGCTAGATTCTACCAACTACAGTCTCCAGCATCTCACGTATAGTACTATTAGTAATGAACAGCGCCTTAAAGACCTTAGTCTGTGGAGGCAGCTGCTGGTGATTGGCTGTCTGCTGTCCCTCACTTTCTGGGTCTTTGTGCATGCTGCTCCATCCATCAGCCTGTGAATAAGCTTTCCCTGTCTTTGTTTAGCTTCCACTGAGCTCAAGCATGACTTCCTCTGCAAAGTTTCTTCTGTTATTTAATCCTTCTTTCTCCTTCAGTTAATTGTTGGATATACTGTTTATCATCCTGGACTATATTCTAATATTTTGTCATTTGTTTCCTCTCATGATGATGAGCAATTTAAATGTAGGAAATACTTTATCATTGTGTCTAAGAACACTAGATTCCTATAACACTGGGTTGTCTTTTAAAATATGTTTTCACATTTCACTGATGGACAGAAACAAATAGATTATGTTCTATACATGCATAGAATGTGTAATGATCAGGTCAGAGTAACTGTCATATATGTGACCTCAGACTTTCACCATTTATATATGCTGAGAATATTCTGTATCCTATAAAATTCTTTGTTCTTCACTATCCTGTAAAATATTTACATAGTGTAAAATATTCTACTGTACTTTAAAATATTTAGAATTTATTTCTAAATTGATTTATTTTTACTGTCCATCTCTACTAATGATAACAGATTTTTGGTAAGAAATTATTTAAAGGAATAAATGAGAGAAAACTTCGAGAACAGGATTTCAGATGTTAAGCCATTTTTAGAATTAACAGAGCAGAGACATGTTAATAAAAATGACAGTACAGTATGGAATTATGATAGCTCCTGTCTAAAAAATTATAATCTAATTTTTTCACAGAACTTAAAAAAAACTTTAACCAACTAAATGCATGTTGTCACAATCACTCACTAGCTGTTCTTTGAATTCACAAGACAAGTAGCACTTTGCTTAAATTGAACAGGGATTCAAACAATCTTAGACTATGAAATGTCTTCATAACAGTAAACCAATTATTAGGAGATAACAAGTGCACCTTTTCATCGTTTAATCAATGCACAAATATCCATTATTACTCATGAATGACGATTGAGATGCTGGACTGCAAACGATTTATGATTTAGTCCTGAGAAATTGTTGAATGGCTAGGGTGGTAATTTACCTTTCATTTCTGTTTTAGATTTCTAAGGCAGTTATTCCAGGCTAAAATTTTTGTGATATTCTTTATTTGAATAGCC